AGAGTCTGCAGCAACACGCTCTTCATTCATGCCTGTGCCGCTGGGCATCAGTTGCTACCAGTAGAGAGATTAGTCCCTGTATTAAAAAATGCTTCCCTGAATGCGACGCAGAAAATAATGGCACTATGCTGTCATTTAAACAATGCCATTCCTCATAGGCTTAACAACAGCAAATTCAATTACGCATATTGGCCATCTTTTTATCTCAGGAGGCAGTAAATAAAACATGCAAGACAAACGATAATCTATATAAATATTACCAAAAAAACAACAAGCGAGTCGTATCATGTGCAGCCTCCCATGTGTCGGCGTGTATGCTTTCCTAAAAACTGTATGCATATAGCATGGTGCTCCTCACATGCTATTCATGTACAGTATGTCCCTCTGTGTGGCACCACATTTTCATGGCAAACATTGTACTGGCACATTTCCTAGGAATTCATTGTGGATTGATTCTACTTGTCTCCCATTATTCTATTTTGCAGATGGGAATGTGCAACCCCTCTGTGCCTCTGTGCCTCGGCCCTGTATCGGGCCACAACTGGAAACAGATGATCATCTTTTGAAACCATTACTCAAGCCTGGATCCTGCTTATCATTGAACCAACTTCCCGGTCTGCTAATTTTGGGTTGCCAAAACTCCTGGCTCTGTGCTACAATGTGTGTTCGTCTTCGTCTGCTGTGTTTTTTCAAGCGCTGGTGCGACGGAGGGAATCCAAAAGAGAAGGTAGAAAGAAGAAGACAAGAGAGAGGAGGGTATAGAGGAGGGGATTTCTACACACATTGCACAGCTGTCTCTGGCGGATATGACACCGAATCGAAATAAGAAAGTCTGTAGGCGGTCATAATTCTCGGAAGGCACATGCGCTGAACAACTCATAAAAGGCTTCATCTGCCAGAACCTACTCCCCCACACCTTCCAAGGCAGCTCATTGCTTCCGCTCTCCTTTCTCACCTTGTCCAGTCTGCTTCAAGTATCACATCCCAACATGGCTAGAGGCCACATGTGTTAGTAAATTAAACACTTGGGGGGGGGGGGGGGTTGGTCAGTTAAAGGCGATCAGAATGTCCCCCATCAACAATGCCTTTGTGCAGTAGCCTTCCACTGTAGGGAATACATCACACTGCCTCATTGTTATATGGCAGCATATCAAACACTCCAACTAAAACAATAGGAGGAATGATGCATCCTCACCATCCACCGAGGGTATACATGATGTAAACAAATAACCATCCTCATTTACATCATAATTGCCTGCTGTCTCATTCTGTTATTCCATTACTCTCAATGAGAAGGTCACTATGCGATGATCTATGGCCATGACTATTAGCACAATGTACACAGTACATACAGTGTATGTATGCACATATGCATGATTTACAATCAGAGGTTTGCTTATGTTCACGCACTTGCACAGAGAATACTGAGGGAGCTCTTGCACCGAGCAGGGAATCAATTACTCACTCAGCTGAATATTTTTGGGGATCAAAGGATCACACACCTTTGTGTGCTTGTGTGCTGGGGCATGTACTAAAAATGTGCCAGTTAACGAATACCTCAGTCTGATACATCAGAAAAACAAATGCAGATTTGCGTTTCCCCAAAGAAAATTTTAGACACTTACATCAGAAATACCCTGAAAGGCACAACAACAGGTAGAATTGGCTGCACTTTTTTTTTTTCTATTACTTTCGCAATCAGATGTAATATATGCTGCATGAAATGAAACAAGAGACAAAAAATTGATGTTTTACAACTACTTAAAAGTATTTTGTGGAGGTGAATTTGCATGGAAGGGCAGGATTTAATGAGAAGCCCAATTCTTTAATCTTCCAGAGGTGAATTCGTGCGGAAACCTACAAAGTTTTGGAGCAAGTCTGACAGACTGATTATCAAGAAACGTTGAGGTTTGGTGGTAAATTAAATTGATACTGCTGAATACTTATATAATTCCAATACAATGCAATTGTATTATTTGATTTTATTTCAGCTGTATTGTATTGATGTCATAAGACATGATATGCTCCTACAAAATTATTGCTGACATGATGGTAAAGCAGAATGAGTTGTTTTATGTGTTTTGAAAATGATGAGACAAACCTCAGGTGCAACATTTTGGGGAAAATAAGAAGAGATTTCCTTCCTGAATCTCATTCGTGCATCAAAGCATTGCTTCTGACATTTACATTATTCTTCTTTTCTGTATCACAAAGACATTTTGTGACCGCATTATGCAGACTTTGCATTGCTCTGCAGTTCTTTTTTTTCTATTGAACCTCAATAGCACTAACAACAAATGGCATTTAAACTCACCACAGGGGTCCACTGCATTCTGCCAAAGGGAAATGCAGTACAGCGTATGAAGGAATCAATGTGCAGGGGCTTGTGTGAGTGTGTGTGGAAAAATAACAGGTAAAAAGCTTTTTGTGCACACTTGGCGTGAGAGCACACAAGAAATTTCATATGTGTGCATACGTGTAGTTTGATGTGTGGTTGAGACCTTCTAACTTCAACACATTCATATCATATTCTTCTCAACTGTTACATGGCACATTAAGACACACTGAGCCAAACATTCGCCAGCTGTTCAAGTGATACTGACAATGTTTTTTAATAGGATGCTGGCAGAAGTGTGGAAGCGTGAGCAGTTCTGTTATTCAGTCGCGGATCCAAACGGCAGCAAGAGGTAACAGTTTGTAAACTGCTGAAAGCGGCACATTGCACAGTCTTGTTTACTAACCTGGATAGCCTGCGATGCTTGATGTCGTAACAGACCAGATAGATTAGAGAGGCAAACAAAACAACATCTGTGAGCCATCAGATTCCTCTGTAACGGTGCACTTCTGAGTGATATGGCAAAACGTGGGCAAGGAGTCAGTCTAATGGTGATTTAATCAATACCAATTATTCTATTAATGCCCTTTTTGTATAATACTTTTAAAAATAGGTGTACCTTTTAAGAGTCCGCTCCTGAAACCTTAAAGACACCATGCTGAGACTCTTTCATTCTCTGCTCATGCTGCACCCACTAATGCATATTACCCACCCACTGTCACTGAGCTGAATGCTTTCAATGTCCAAGGAGAAAAAATATCATGCTCTAGCTCTCTACAGTCAAGCCTGTGGGTAGAGGAATTATATTATTTCTATTTAGTGTGCTTAGACTTGATGAATCTTCAAGTCTTTAACTAGGCATACCCTAAGGAGAGTGTCACAACGGAGAATGTACACAAATGCGGAAAGACTTTTAATGGGGAGATTTTTACTGAATAAAACAAACCAACATGAATATATTATGAAAGCTGATGTTAAGACTGAGGAAATAATTTACTGACGGGCGTCTCCATGGAGCAGTTGTGAAGCTTTTACTCCATTATTGAATGTCCTGTTGTTTTAGTTTTAGTTTTAGTCCAGAAAACTGTACTGTGGTATATTTGAAATTAGATGAAATATATTTTGTTCACTCTTAAGGTCCTAACCACATATGGTCAAAGTTAAAGTATAAATGAATTGAATCTACACACACATATATATACTAGCTAAAGTTAATAATTGATTGCATAAAAAAGCCTTAATATAGCCTTGCTATTTAGCTATTAAGAACTCATTGCACTGGCTGGATCACTCTATTTCTCTCTGTGGCTGTAATGTCCTTTTTCTTTCACCTCTGGCAGTTGTGGGTCCCCCTTGAAAATGAGATGATAGACCTCAAAGGGTTTATCCTAGGAGTAATACATTTCTCTAATATCACTGGTGCTTTTGTGCCATTTTCCATTTAGTGGAGCGATATCATGGTCCTACAAATGCTATATGTGGTAAAAGTTTGTATTAAATTAGATAACTGTAGTTTAAAGAAACTGCAACCAAAGACCAAGACCTCTTGCTGTGGGTCACTGTGCACTCGATGTATTAATCCATTTAGAAAAAAGAACATATGGCATTGTAAATGAGCCCTGACATGCTGCGTGAATGCTTTATATAGCACAGGCGCACAGAGAGAGCTATGCCATTGCTCTGAGCTGTGCATGGACAGCAAGGAGACAAGCAGTTAGAGAGCAACATCACACAACTGAGAGATCACAGGTTCAGCCCTCGCATCTGCCAAGTGTCCTGCTGGTACAGGATTATGCAACTTATTTCATTTATATTTAATAGTTATTTCCTCCATTGTTTTGTTCTATGATGTTAATGATTTCCACTAAGGTTACTGAAGTAAATAGATGTAAATGTCAAAGATGCTGCGAAGGCAACTTTCCGCAGGGCTCAAAAACAGGGAGTCACACCATTGGAATAGTAGCAGTTGGAAGGTTCTAGGTGTAAATATAACATACTGAATACTGAATAGCATAGCCTGCAGGAAGTAGATGTGCTGGGGTGTTGAAACACCCTCACACCCAGGGGTAGCACCCTGGCTATATATAAAAATATATGTATGTATGTTTAGTTGCAGGATTTTTTTTCTTTTAGTTTTGTTATATCCCATCTCCCCATTCCTTGCCACCTGCAATATCCTTTCAATTTTTTCAAATTATCATGTTTATCAGTATTTTTTCTGTGTTGCTGTGTTGTGGCACAGGAAGTGTTGTGTTTCATTGACAGCAGCATAACATCAATTGGGAAAATAGAAAAGTGAAACAGCTAGAATTAAGGTCCATGAAACAGGTAATCATGTCAATCAAAAAAGAAACTGAGTGGTGAGTTTGACCACCCTTTATTGGCAACCAGCTTTTATTTCTATGTGCTGGCCACAGCACTGATTATTGGGTTTCATCTGAGAATTCACAGGAAATGTTTGTTTCTGAGACTCCATACCCTTTTAAGAATGATGATCCCCTCTTGGTTGTGTTCATTGGTAGTGATGTCAAACATGGCACCTCCATCACCTGGCACAATGGTGTACTCTACTTCGGCATTTTTCCCGATGTCCAAGTCATGGGCTTTGATTCTACCGACAGCAGATCCCACTGCAGAGGACTCAGGAACTCGAAGGTGAAAGAAACCTGTCAACAAACAAACATCAGACTGGACTCAGGCTCATTTATTATCATCGCTTGACATCGGATAGAAAGTACTGAGCTCTTCACATCCTCTGTCCTTTCTGTAGTCTCTCATCCAACCGAGGATGTCTTATCCACCCACTGGCAAGCAGCTGATATGCTGCTGTCTGAAGTCATCCCTGTAGCTATAAGCATGACATTATTCAATTTTGACATGTCTGGACATCAAGGCTGCTCAGCTCCTACTAATTGGCTGGCTCAACCTGTAAGATCAACAAACACAAAAGCACAGGGGCTTTGATAATCCCAACAGCAGAAATCACTGCTGAGGACTTGTGTAGAAATCTACAAACAAACCGTTTGTGTTGATTGATTGTCACTTCCATCTGACAATAGGTGGAAATGAATCTTCACCGTTTCCCTTCACTCTCTGAAATGGCTAGCTGTTCGAACAATAGCACCTGCTTGTGCCAGAGAAATGAAAACTTTACTGTTGCATTACAAATCTAGTGCGAACACCTGGTGGCATCGTAGAGCCATGGGCAATTCGGTATAATAGTGTCAAAATTATTCTGAGGATTTAGAATGTTTTGGAGTAATTACACCTCAAATTCTAAATTGAGAACCATGTCAGTTCAAGAAACGTGGCGCTCATTTTGAACATTCATTTTGAAACTGGTGCTATGTCAAAGTTATACAACATTTATTTGGGACTATTCATTGTGACTGAATGAGTGAATTCTACAAGCCCTATAATCGCAGTGTTGCACTGGTGCCAAACCCCTCGACGGCTTTCATTGTTTTGCTTACATTTTGTTATTCTTAACAAAGTCCCCATTTGATTAGATGATTTCCTAACACATTTCTCTACTGACTTGAACTTGAGCTTAAGAATGGATACATCCGGGAAAAGACTATGTGCCACAGAGAAAGAAATGTATGAGTCTCTTAGGAACTCCTTTTGAGGATAGTGCCACTTGACACACAATGGCATCAAAACGGGCAGATGCACTTGAACACACGTAAATGTCTACATTCAGCGTCAGACACTAGGCACTAGAAGGGTGAAAGGGGATATTGCTTGGCAGAGAGGGTGTTTCTTTTTTCTTAGTGGCGTGCCAAAAAAATATATACTGAAACAAAGTCAAAATACCCATCTCCGCTCAGGCTGTTGGAAAATGTTGCATTCAGTGTTCCTATTGAAATTAAGTAAACATTTAAATGTTTGGTATTATACTCAGTGTTGTGCTACATCATAAGATACTGGTACCACTGTGATGTATGTTACTGCACTCCCATTTGTTATTCCTCAATTTGACTGTGGGTCTTAGCTTTTTTCCACAGTGTTGATCCCAGGATTGGCAGAGGAGAGCCGGGTCATATGGATGAATTTGGGTGCTATATTTCAATAAATAATCAAATACTTTCAAGGACATACATTATATGTCCTTTCAAGGATAGGACAATAACTTTTCTTTTTATAAGCTCCAGTGCCAAAACAGAGTGAGTTGCAGATGTTATCAAACAGCTGTTATACGGCGCTGTCAGCGGGTTAATAGACACCATTAGGGATGTCACAAAAACCAATACTTTGGTACCAAGTCGATGCCAAAATTCTGACGGGACTCATTTTTCTACAGTACCGTATGTACCAATGGATGCATTTTTTTCCGGACCTGATGGCACAGCATATACTCCTACAAATATTGTAGTCTGCCGTTAAATGCTATGGGAAGAAGAACATGTCGAAGACGGCGGCAAGTGCAGCTATACAAGTGATTGAGTTGCTCTGTTGTCAACTCTTTGCTGTTTGTCTCTCTGTCGCTGTGCTGTGTACGTGTGTGTGTGTGTGTGTGTGTGTGTGTGTATGCCAGGTGCTCAACCCCGCCCGCAGTAAAACACTGCCACGGGTGGGGCTGAGCTCCTGATCAGAGGCGAGACAGAGAGCGGTGGAGAGCTGCACACTCACAGTGTCGCTGCAAGTGCAACAATAACCCAGTGAACAAAAAGCAAATATGAGTAATTTATTCATGTAATCTGTGAAAAAGATGTACAGGAGGAAATAAACATTCAGTAGAATACAGTTCATTCAGGTAACCCAGGTTGCACTGAAGAAACAAACTCTGCAGAACTATTTTAAAGGGAGAGATAATCCACATCTTAAAAAATGATAAAAGGGAGAGTTTGTTAGGCTATTTTAGAGCGTAATTTGCTAATTAGCTATTTAATATAAAAAATATATATCATAGGCTATATTAATATAGTATGCATAAATAGCATTAAGGAGCAGCTTGGTTTTCAGGCATTTTTTATTACTGCAATGCATAGCTATTCATCTAAGTATTGGATCAGGACTTGGTATCATCAGATCTTTGTTAGATTGTGGTATCAAACTGGTATTGAAAATCGTGGAATTTCCCTTGTATCGGTATCAACAACTACATTTCTGGTATTGTGACATATAGACACCACTGTTACTATTACAATTGCAGACTTTGCAGTTGCATCCACATCTGGTACATCTGGTATCACAGAGGTTCATTCAGGGAATTAACGGTTTACAAATACTTAATCTATAATAACTGGTAAGCAAAAAAGAATTTCTGTGACAGACAGATGTGGGATGGATGCATGCAGCAATAGTTTAGTAAACTGAAATCATCTGATGAGGTCCTCCAATATGGCCACCACACATTTTTTTTTTTACCTGTAAGCCTGGATGGAAAAGAGAAGAAGACAAAGACAGGATTTGGGACAGGGCAGAGGAGCCACCATACTTGGCCCCAACCTCTGTGCTGGGACAGCATTATGGAAATATCATCTTTTCCTCGCAGCCAAAAGAGCTTGACCGCCTGACTGCCTGTATTTACATTCAGAGGAGAGCATTCGGTGTCACCGCAAAATACATGAAGAGACTGCCTCAATACAGAGCAGCATTTTTGCTTTCCTGTCATTCGCTTGCTGTTTTGGAATGAAGAATGCGTTTCGCACAGAGGTTAATGTTTATGCTTAGTATATGTAGAGAAGACAGATCAATGTGTTTACAGCAATGAGGTTTTTTTTCCCCAGCTCGGCTTTTTACATGTCCTGGTGAACGGTACAATCAAATTAATCTGGTTGAGCAGCTTATACAAAATACCACGGTGTTTAAATACACTGACTCAATCCCTGTCGCAGCACCATCATGCTTAAACCTGATCTAAATATAGAAGGATGCCCCATGAGCTAAATAACACAAATCCTAGTTTATTTGCCAGCGGTAGTAGCTGGAGATGCAATCATGCTAAATAAACAGGCCTTTGCTTACGACAGCGCATAATGACAAATAATGAAAACCAATTACAAAGAGTAGGCATGATGAATACTCCCTGCCCTGTTGTAATTGCATGGTGTTTATTTTGTTATCATCATATGTGTGAACCTGCGTATAGTCATCTGCATTAGGTGTTGTTAAACTGCCATCATATCTAGATGGGCTACTCACTTTTGGAGAACCTGGGTGGATTATCGTTGACATCGCTGAGGGTGATGTTGACTGTGGTTGTCCCGGCCAGCCCTCCCAGCTGGCCCCCCATGTCCTTGGCCTGGATTAATACCTGGTACTGTTCCTTCACCTCTCTGTCCATATTGGGCAAGGCTGTCTTTATAACCCCTGGTGTACGGCAAGATTAATGAGAAATACAGATAGGAGAGGAGTGAGAAACAGAGGAAGAGCAGACAGTTTCTTTTAAAAATACAAAGGAAATATGCTTGATGCCAAATGAACAATTTACTTCAAAATGCTCTATTTATTTCCACCTCAGGAGCTCACTCTGCAATAAGAAGCTACATGTGTGGCTCCGACCAAGGCTGCAATAGAGGTCATTTCACAAACTGGAGACACTTGACATTCAATAGGGAACTCTGGTGAAGCTATATAATGATTCACTTGAGGATCAGAGACCCTGAGATCAGAGAGCGTTTGTACTGCAGATTAATAGCTAGGTCAGTGGGAGGTTGGCAGGCTAAAGGGAAGCAGGCAGCATAGGTGGGTCTTCAGTTTTTCTTCTTTCTTATTCCATTTAATATGGTTAGGATGTCCCATTTGATCCGCAGACCCCTAACATGTGTGAATCCAAAATCAAAGATTGTGTTTATTTTTGAAGGTTCTGTCGTCTTTTTTTTTTTTTTTTTGGAGAAGGGGGGATGTCTGTCTCGGAGAGGGGTAATTCTGTGACACGCATGAAGATTTACGCATGTTGTTGTAGTCCCCCTCCCCGTCGCTCACCTTTTTCCTCCCAGTGTTTGCTCCCCTTGTTGATGTGCGTTTGGAGATAGATGCAGGCCCAGCAGGGCAAACATTTACTATAACAGTTTGATTTTTTCCAGCATCAGTTTGAAATACAGTCACAGTATGTGCTCTGTAAAGCTCTGGGATGAGCGGCATAATCAGCAACAGATTCCACCCTATCTGCCTGTGTGATATGTATGAACCTATTTTCATATGCTTTGAACTGTCCCAGATAGTAAGCCAACAGCAACCCACTACCGGCAAACACTGCTGGTATGAAGGTATTTCAGATTTAGAGCAGTCATCTGCCATACCCTGCCTGCTGCCACCACTCTACAACCCTTTTTTATTGCAATTTCTACCTATGACAGCATGCGCCTACACCAGCGAAGTGAAGGTATAAATAGGCTGGAAATAACTAAATAACAATGGTAAGCATTACATGTTATTGTGTTATTTGTCTTTTGGTGAATTCAATTTAAGCTACCTGCTGTAGCAGTTTGCTGCCTATCTGAAAACCACAGTGATCACACAGTGTCCTTGCAGCAAAGATTCAGTCACTGATGGTTTTGAGATCAGTCTCCTTTCTGATGCTGAGACTGTTATATTTGTGGGTTCACCTGACATTCCTCCACCCCAGAAAGCTATTTAGAGATACTGTACTTAAAAATAATTGTACATTTGACACTTTTTTTTATCTAGCCTTCTCTAAAGCAGATATCCTGAATGTTTCTCTCATATTTCAGTGCTTTTTATTTTTACATGATTTAATGCTTGACATCAATGCTGCTTGTGTTTTATACAATTTAGGCATTTACTTCATAATTGTCAAATAAATAATTCACTGTCTTTATTGGAGAGCATGTGTCCTTTTGTGGCCCACTGCTTTGTGGACTGGCCTAGGGTTCATTTCTGAACCCTGTTTTATTCTCATGATATATGCTTGCACAGGTCTACACTATAGCGCACACCCTCAATCAATCATACATATCATTCCAGACTAATGGCCTAGATCACCTTATATCACTGCCTCGCTGCAATGGCTATAAAACAGAGGTACTTATTTTCTGACACTTTTACCTTGCATATTTAAAGTAAAAATGTAAATGTTTATGAACATTACTCTTACCGAATCATTATTTTTTTCCACATAAATCAACAAGGATATCTACTTTACCTGTTTTAGGGTCAACAGAGAAGTACGGCTGGCCATGGAGAATGCTGTATACCACTCTCGCACTGTTTCCGTAGGTGGGGTCATCTGCATCAGTGGCTGTCACTTGCGTCACATACGTCCCTGTGGAAAGGAGTGGGAGGACATATTGACTTTGACTTAATTTGTTTCCTCATGAGACTGAAATCCAAACCCTTTGAAGTTCATCAGTTTACTGAGCAATCTCACCTGACACTAATGAATGACGAATTACACCTGAGAAAGCTACAGCTAATACTGAACAGTCAAAGCCCCTGATAGACACAAAGGATGTTTTTGGGATGTTGTTCACCTCTTTCTGTTGAATGTTTTGATTTGCACATTTGTAGCATTACTGAGTGGGCAAGGGTAAAAAAGCTCTTGTGCGGCCATTCATTAAACAATGCTACCATTAAGAAAACAACAGGCCATGGAAAGAATAGTATTAGGATGGCAGCCTTCCAAACTCCTGCAGGAAGAAGGACAGAATAATTACTTGTTGGAGGTTTGGCTCATCCTCCTTAACTAGCTGGCAGTGAAAACACTATTCCATTAACACAGTCCTTATTTTACCATGTTTTTAAATTCAACAAATTCAATCTAAAGTTTCTAGTTTGACAAAAATAACCAATAAAAATGCCTTGTCAGCCTGACTGTTTTAAAACTCCAAGACGCAAGCCTGGTGTTTCCTGGACAGATGGGCAGATTCTTTAGAAGGACTACTTGCAGACGGGTTGACATGGATGCCTTCACATGCAGACAGCTCCCTGCTTACATGTCCATGTATCAATCACATACCTACATCTGGCTATCTTAAAAACATGCTGTGTAAGATGTTTTCAGCTGCGGGATTTGTGGAACAGGCGACACTGACCAGAGGGATGGCATTTGCGTGGTCATTTTAAATTCTGGTAAGCTCCTAGTTGCCTGTAAAGAACTGTCTGTATATCAAATAGGCTTTGCAGACTGAGCAAGATGGCAACAATGGCATTAAAACATTAGGTGAGAGAGATTAGTGTCTCAATCCTCCCTAACAAAGCCACACATGCCTGATTAGACATGCCAGAGAAGGGCTGCATCATGTTCAACACGGATATACAAGAGATGAGATAATACATTAACACCGTTTTCAGTTCAGTAAAGGAGAGGAAATCCACAGCTTGAAGAGCTCATATGTAGTGAAAGTTTAAAAGCCTTTAAGTACGGCTGACACCTACGCATTTCCAGGGGACACAGGTAACAGCCTTTACCCTAGCTTTGAGACAACAAACACAGCGAACAAATTCTATTCACGCAATTATGGAAATTCCAGAGTGTCATTAAGAACTAGGTGGAAAGAATGCCTTCAAAGGTCATTGCTGGTAAACATAGGAGGAGAATGCAAACCAGTTTTGCTAAATATAGATTATCTGTCAGAGTTCATTAAATGTTCTTAATATTATTCGACAAATGACTGCATAATGTAGAGGAAACCAATTAACATAGAACAATATGCAACGTATATAGATTTTATATTCAAATATGAGGAGAAACAGAGATCAATTTGTGCAATCTGACTGATCCGACTGGGAAAGGATTTCTGTGGCGTTGCACGTAAAAGTCTGACACTGACAATCTGAAATGCAACTTTGTAGACAAGGAGTGAATCAACATATTCATCAAGCTTAAGACATTTTGTGGTAATTACTTTTTTTTCAGGCAACTCTCTGAAATACTTTTTTTTTTTTTTAATCTGTCACGTTCTCTAAACAATTTAGGGATAGGCTAATTGCTAACAACTCTAAGGAAGTCTCTGGATTATTGCCATGAGTGATTTTACAATGTTTGGCCACAGATTGGTCTTCATTACCGACTATTATTGCATATTTATGTTCAGCATTTCTCTCTTTTAGTTTTTGTTTTGCCCTGCTAACATAAAAAAACATCCACAGGGGGATTGTTACCCAAGGCAACAAGGTTGTAACAGTTAATGAACCCATTGATCACACAAGTCTTGTTGGTATAAATATTGATAAAGACTTTAGTTGGTCTGATGTTAAAACAACAGTTGCATCTCCCATGGTGTGAATAACCTCTGATTTAGTTATTGCACTGGCGGGGAAGGTAACTTCTTACACAAATTGTGGGGGGCTGCTGTTTAAAACTCACAACCGAGTTCACAGCTAATATATTTATGATAGTGGTGTCACTCTGCATAATTTGATATAATAACACTGTAACTTGCTTATTTTTGTGACAGTGAAGGTTATGTCCTCACCCACACTTAATTTACTCTTGTTTTATATTAAGTCAGAATTGTTCATTTGCACTGCACATTTTGTGATTCCACATGTTTTCTGTACTATGTAGCACTGCGGCATTTCCAGTTCCAGCACGCAAAAGCAACATTACTATTTATTTAACAAACATAAGGCATTAAATACTGTAGATTCAAATTTAGCCTCTTCCTAAACAGAAATCCATCGCATTTTGGCCTCAATTATTTTTAAGAATGATTGCTTATTGATTAAACTAAACTCATCACAAGGAGTAAAACTGTTTCCTCTTGTTCTTGAGGGAGATATACAAAGCCTTAGTAAATGAATTAAATAACCCTTTTGCTGAGGTCATCAGGGTTTTTTCATTAATGATTTTGCTGATGCCTTCAGGTTATTTCAGCTTGGGCTTGAGACTTAAAATTTATAACAGAAAGCCTTTTTTACATATATTTTTGGGGGGCCTTTTTCCCTTTTGTTAGACAGAAAAGGGACAGAGCGAGGGGATGACATATAGGAAGGGGCCACAGGTTGGATTCAAACCTGTTGCTGCTGCAGCAAGGACTTACTGTAAAACCAGATACGTTCATTTAACAAAAAAAAAAGTTGAAACAGTTTTTTACGTTAAAAAAGATTCTTGATGAAGACACTTTTAGTAGTAATTTGAAGTGGCACTAACTTAGTTTTGTCAGTTACAGAAACATTCCTGATTCATAACTTGAGTACTAAGTATTTTATTTTCAAAGTACACAAGTAAAGTCATTCTCTCTTAAAATTACTAAATCTAGGCTACTTAAAAATGTTCTCTTATCTTACAAAATTTTGTTAGTTTTACTTAAAATCTTTGATGTAATCAGTTCCAAATTTATATGAACTTGGTTTTACAGAGTTGATACATGAACTGGATGCAGGGTGTATCTAATGAAAGTTGCTATGCAGTTGCATTATGGTAAATGTAGGATTGTGAGGAATGTTTTTAATCTGTCTGTAGATACCTCTAAGTTATTTAATTGATGACCTACATGATTCACTGGTTTTAAGCTAATCTCTCTGCTTCCATGGTCACACTAGATGTTTGGTTGATTTTTTAAAAACTTGTAAGCATCTCTCTGATTCTACATTAAACAGTTGCAGAGCAGCTTATGATTCAGAGGGACTTGGCTGTTGTTCCAGCTTCCAACCCATCCTCTAGAGATTGCTGATTTTGTAGTTTTGAGGGCTTCATTGCCATTCAGATCAAGAGGAACCATTCTCCTAGCGAAATACCTTGATCTGTTCTCCCTAGGGGTGGGGGTGTATAAAGACAAAGCTGTGAAATATACTCAGGGCACACCAAGAATAACTGGTTCTGTGAAATGTCAAAATCTGTTGGGGAGCAGCTTTGCCCCTCTGGTTGTACCTGTGATGCTCCTGAAACTTAACTTTTGTATTCTGTAGTTCAAGAGGAGAAAACAAAGCTGTCAGGGGAAAATAATTCAAATTAATTAAGGAAAGTACTGGCTGCTCTAAATGTATTGGACAGAGCCAGTCACTGAAGATGGTCACTTACCTACTGGTGACATCTCAGGGACACTGGCCCTATATGGTCCCTCCAGGAACTTTGGCTCATTGTCGTTGATGTCTTGAACCTTGATTACAAATTCTGATTCAGGCTCTAAGGGCCTATTGGTGTCGATGTCAACAGCCTGGGCGCGAAGGGTGTAGTAAGGCTTCTCCTCCCTGTCAAGGCTCCTTAAGGCATGGATGTCCCCCGTTGTTTGGTCAATTGTGAAAATGGAGCCAGCCCCGTCCCCCGAGAGAGTGTACTTCACCGCACTGTCCCCCTTATCGAGGTCAGTGTGCAGCTGAAAGACAAAAGAGGAAAGAGACAGGTTGAGTGCAAACATTGGCACAGATAATGATTCATTGAAAGCACTAGGGAAGAGCTGTCAAAGAACACTATTTCACAAAGAGAGTCAAGGAAACTGACTGCGCATCAAAGAGCAAATTCATGTCTCTGCAAATTCAAGATCTGCAAAACACTAAGTCATGAGAAAAATAAAATGATCATACTTTCAGAACGTTTCACAGATTAATGAGGCTAAATCTCTCATAAATAATGGATTCTCTCAGTGCAATTATGCTGCAGTGATAGCTCTTCAACATCATGGACCCTTTTCTGTTCAAGCATGACTCAAAAATCTAGAGTTTTTCTCAAAGTGGCAAAGATCAGACTGTGAGAACTAGAGGTAAATACTCTCCAATTTTGGATGCCTTCACCTGACAGCAGAGATATGTGACCAGATGACTCTCAGCACAGTTGCAAAACACCACTACTCCAGCCAGAGAACATCTTCGTTAATACAGATCCAGGGCCACGGCAGCTCTTTGTACAAGACAAACACATTCTGGGCTGGTGGCAGAAAGCTTATTGACATAGTTATGTTTCCCTCCCTGGGGAGATCAGATCAGTCATACAATTCAAAGCCTTTTAAATATTTAAGGGCTCGGATGAAATTTGATCATCACCATACATGGATATGGATTTTCACCTTCTTATCAATGGCATGGGATTTCCACCAACACAGTTGAACAGCAGTCTTATTTCAGGAGGCAAGAGCAGATATTTTAAGCACTAAAGCGGTGGCATAGTGTAGCCAGCAAACTGGAGGACCTGCTGGCTCCGGGCAGCGTGGATTAATTTTTCTCTGTCAGAAAAGCTTCCATAACTTGCACTGAGATGCCTCTAATTCTACACTTTATGGCTGACTTTGGGCCCTTTTCTAGCTGCTAAAACATAACAGACATGGTGAATTTTTTGGTTGCTTGTGGATGGGAAATTGTGTTGACAAACTGTGGTAAATTAATGCAATACTATAGCTTCAGCAAGCCATTAATGTCCTGTAATCACATTCTGATTTATCAGACTAGAATCCCTAGGAATTATGTCCACATTGGGCATTTTATTATTCCTGATGTCAAATGCCAATGTTCAGTGCCAACACAGGAAACTGTGAGGATGTGGAGGCTTGCAGCATGTCCAAATTTCATTCTGGTGACCCCCCCGTCACAGACCTGAAATGAATGTTTACAGGTTTATTAACCACAACCACAATCTTTCCCCACCCTCATCCAAATGTTTTAGTTGCTGTATCCTAACCATTAAGCACATTTAATGTACCATAGCCATCATCTTTTGCTCACTTTACCATAGCTGCCATGCACCAGATAATGACTGAATTAATCCACACACTGACACTGTCTTCTTTTGTAATTTAGTCTCTTTTTTTTTTTTACCCAGCTAGTGAATATTAAGCTATCATTTGCACATAACTAATTTCCCAGTGAACCTCCATGGTAATAGCAGCCATGGAGAGGAAATTTGAGATGCAGCTATTAATTCTCTGTAGGTTACGGTTCAAAACAACCCAAGACACGCAGACGAGCACAAACACACTGGGTGTTATTGGTGATTCAGAGCAAATTGCCCAGTTCATATAAGCATAGCATGGCATTATAAATGTCTCACCCATGGTGCATTATTCATTTCTATTCAAATGAATAAGAATTATTTTTAGTACATGACCCTTGTTGGGTGACAACTAGGTCCCATAACGTTTTATGCAACGAGCACAAAATCTAAAATGTAGATTATGCATTGTCCATGTAAATAATGCTACAATATGCTACTCCCCCGCAAAGTAGACGATCTGCCAACGAAAAAGAGTAGATTGCTCTCTCCATTTTTCCTCACTCATCACTAGACTAGACACTTTAAAGTTTGTTTGTATTTTAAAGATATTTTTGGGGCTTTTTTGTTTTATTGATAGAACAATGTAGGCAGGAAAGGAGGTAGAGAGAGAGGGGGGATCGAACCTCGGACTGACCTCGGACTCCTCCAGGACTGCACCCCTCATTAATGTTAAGCTTAAGCTGATAAAGCATTCAGTTTTATTCTTGGTGAACATAAAATATTTGGTGAAGAATATTTTTTTATTTTTTAATCATTTATTTCTTCTTCTTATTATTATTTATTTTTATGTTCACAGTTGAAGCCAATATTAAATGAAGCCTATATTATAGGCAATGGAAACTTGAAAACTGTAGCTTTATCCTCTAAAACGTGCTTTCATATGCAGGCAAAACGTGCTTTCATATGCAGGCAGCTAAAACTTACAGTAATTATTAGTGTAAGTGTCATGATACCCAGGTTTAATGAGTTGTCATGCTTCACTTCAGCCCATGATTGACAACTTGAAAGTCACACCAGCTTAATGGTGAATACCTCCATATAACTTTTTTTTTTTTTAGCACCTTATGATTAACACATTAAGGCTTCTAACAAGGAAAAGGTGTTAATTTCATTTACCTCAGCTTACTTTAACATTTTATACCTTTACAGCGAAAAGGAGGTGAAAGACAGTCTGAAGGAAACTTTATAGAAATTTTTCCCAAGTTAAAGTTGACTATCTCACCTGCATAAAGTGCAAATAAATGTAATCTGCGCCGGAAGGAGGGGGGGGTAGAAACAGGTGTGCACCCACATCCTCTGATATGAGCGAGAAAAGGTGTACGTGGAAAGTTAATGAATGCTACCTGGATACAAATAAAGAGCACTGGACTCTGTAACGTCGCCCAAATACTATCTGTAATAACTTTACTGGAGTTGTAAAGTTTGCTAAAGCCCACGCAGTTGATTAGGGGAGCTCCATCACCTAGGGCAGTGTTTTTCAATCTTGGTCGTCAGGAACCCCTGCCCTGCATGTTTTAGATGTTTCCTGCTCCAACACACCTGATT